CCTTGAGGCCAACGGCCTTAAAGCTGCACTTTACAATATGGACAGGAGGGGGCACCATTGAACTAAGATGCTTGGAAACTACCCTCTGTCTAAAAACCGGTGAAACCAAGGGCCTGCACTGTCTGTACTTAGCTAGGCCAGATTGGGACCAGGGCTGAGAGGGTAAGTAGACACAAGCCCTGATCCCCAATCCTGAAGCTATCTCCAACGGATTACTCACAGAGGGAAACTTTGTTCTATTCTCACTGGGTATACAAACTACAGTTTAGGATGGGTCCTTGCCCAGCTATAGAAGGCCCAAAATAAACTTGGTGTTTTTGGAGTTGTCATAATGCTTTGTCTGGGCATTGTTGTTCGTTTTAAATTAATTTTTTTTTTTTTATTCCCTGTGCATTGCTGTTTTCCTCGAATGTATGTCTGTGTGAGGGTGTCGGATCCTGTGGAGCAGGAGTTACAGACGGTTGTGAGCTGCCATGTGGGTGCTAGGAATTGAACTCAGGTCACTGGGAAGAGCAGCCAGTGCTCTTTTAACTGCTGGACTGTCTCTCCAGCCCGCCAGTCTGGGCATTTTTTAAAAACTTTGCTTATATATCATAGTTCCCAAGGTTTTGTGCTTTTATGGGATTTCTCTGTGTGAATGTATGTGTCTCTGCATCCATATGTGTTTCTTTGGTTCTTTTTCCTTTTTTTTCTGTTTATTTGTTTTGACCTATTGAAGTTTGTTATTTTATCTTATTCTTTTTTAGATGCTTGTTTGTGTTTTTGTTTGGTTTGTTTTTTTTTTTTTTTTTTTCGAGACAGGGTTTCTCTGTGTAGCCTTGGCAGTTTGTCTTCCTTCCTTCCTTCCTTCCTTCCTTCCTTCCTTCCTTCCTTTCTTTCTTTCTTCAAAGTTTTTGTTGTTGTTGTTGTTTTGTTTTGTTTTTTTAATGTGAACCTGACAGAAAACCCTTCATTTTTTTCAGGAAATGTATGAATCGAAGAAAGAGGAATTCCCGGGGAAACTGCAGAAGAAGAAATGAGACAAATGTTTGTTGTGAGCGGGCAGAAGAGGCTGGAGAGCTCTTTAGCTTCCTAAAGCAAACACGGGGAGGAGAGGAGAGAGTCTAAGGGCTGGAGGATGAGGCAGGCACCATCCCACGCACACAGAGGCCCCGCTGTGACAGTCAGCCTGGGGCTGAGCAAACCAAGAAAGACCAGGATACTGAAAGACCCCTGCCTCACCCTAAGTTAAACATAGCTAATGCCATTTTGTGGGACACCACTGTTTTGTAAAACTCTGAAGGCCAGATGAGAAACTGAAAAATTACTAAGAAACCCAGCTGTGTCACCCACTTGGGATATCTGCGGTCAGGCTGCCCCAGTTGAGCTAAAAACAGTTTGTGTTAATCACCCTCATGGATATCTGTGAGACTGTTCCAGTTAAGATAAGGGTCCTAAGGAAAACAACAGGTGGCGGGCCACGTCAAGGGGTCATCATGACCATTTTGACCACCCAGTTCCTGGAATCTTGGTGTCTCTGCCAAACTTTGACGCAAACCGTGGTCTCATGTAAATGTACCAATCAGCCCCTTGTAACCATGCCTCTCGCTTCTGTACCAGCGCTTCTGCTCTAAAACCCTATAAAAACCCCAGCTTTCCACCCGGGGGGGGGGGGGGGGGGGG